GGCGCGCGTTTGAACCGCCTCCCGCTGCAGAATGGCATCGTCGATGTAGTCCGACCACACCGTCGCCGAAGCCTCCGCAAAAGCCTCGAGGGGGGGGCCGCGGATCTGCCGTGCCTCGACGCTCTCTGCGAACACGCGGAAGAACTCAGTCCCCGACTCCATGTTCAACAGGGCGCCCCCGCGCGCCGCCAACCGCCACCTGCTGCACTTGCTGAAAGGCGCGCCGTAGTCCGCCGAGTCCACGACGAAGGTCAGACACTGCCACTCGTCGGTTTCCTGCAATTCGTCGTGCGGGATGCTCTCCCCCGGCCCGTCCGTGCTCTCCACGAGAACGAGCTCGCTGTTCTGCGCCGCACACTGCAGGAGAATGCTGGCCGCGCTGGCGCCGCTGGCCCCCGGGCGCCTGAACGAACAGCTCCCCAAGAGCAAGGCTGGGCCCCCCCTGGCGCGCGCAGCAGCACCTCTGGGGAGGCCGCCGACGCCCCGGATTCCGTCGTCCACGCTCCGCCCAGATCCGCCTAACGGCGCGCACCACCTCGCGAACACTTCAGCGCGCTGATTCGCCACGGTGCTCTTAGCCGCGTCCGTGCGGCAGTGGGCAGCGATGCGAAAACCCTCCGACAAGAGACCGTGCTTCTGGAACACCCTCTGCAATTCCGTGAGCACGGGCGCCGCGACGAGCATTCCGTCGCCAAGCGCCGCCACCGAGAGCGCCTGGGGCATCGATTCCGTGACGTACGCGGCGTGCTCTTTGAGGACGGGGGGCATATAGGCGTCCACCCACTCCCCGAAGAATCGCAGCGCATGTCCACTAGCAGCCGCGGCTGCATCGATCGCCTTCGGGGCTGGCCAAGCTGGCAACCAGTATCTCCGATGACCTCGGGGTCTTCCTCGCGCGGCTGCTCCTCCTCTCCGAGCTCGCCGCCGTCGCCGCCGCTCTCCTCGGCAAGCTGGCGCAGGTCGTCAGCCTCCGCCTCCACGTCCGCGGCCGCCGCGTCGGCCTCTACTTCCGACGACGCCTTGCCGCGCTCCTCGCTCAATGCCCGACCCTCTCGGTCGCCGCCGCCAGCGGCGCCCTCGCGACGCGCGGGGTCTGCCGAGGCGTCGTCTTCGGCGCGCCCAGCAGCGCCAGCTTCCGGCAAACCTTCCAGCGGCCCTCGAGCTTCCTCCTCGCCCGCTGTCACAGCCGCCTCCGCGGCTTCCCTGGCACTCGAAGCGGCCGCCGGCCGCCGAAGAGCGGAGGCCGCGGCCGCCCTCTTACCCGCACTCGAGGCCGGCGCCTCGGCCGGCCTCTTCTCGGCCCCGCTGGCGATGGACGACGGCGCCTGCCTGGATAGGCGCGCTCGGAGCGGCGACGAGCCTTCTACAGTGCTGGCCCGCGCCGCCGCAGGCGCCACGAAGTTGTCGAGGTCGAGGCGCCCCCAGCGGCTCCCATCCGGGAGCTTCGGCAGTTTTTTCGGGGCCATCAGCCGCGCCGAAGCGGGCCGCGCGCCGAGGCGGCCTGGCCGCGCGGGACCACTGCGCCGCGCGCCTTGAGCCAGAAAACTCTGGAGGGCAGCCTACTGACCCCATCGGGGCCCTCTCGAGGCCCCCCCGCGGTTCCCAAGGCACATGTCCACGGACCAAACAAAAGCCTGCCTGGTTGTCTCACTGCCCGCCCTCCGCAAGGAGTGAACCAGATAATGAATATTATGGCCCTGGTCTTTCTCACCCCTTCCTCCCCCCGCCCCCCTCTCTTCCTCCTCCCTTCCTTCTCCCTTCCTCCTCCCAGTATCCCCTCTCCTCCTCCCGCCCTCCTCTCTTCCTCCTCCCCTCTTCCCCCCTCCCTCCCCCCTTTCTCCTTTATTCATCCTCCCTTCCTCCTTCCTTACTCCTCTGTACCTCCCCCCTTACTCCTCTATTCCTCCTCCCTTCCCCCCTTCCTTCCACCCTCTTCCCCTCTTCCTCCCCTTCCGTGCTTCGGGCCGATCGGGGATTCGACTTTTCTGTTCCGTGGATGGGAACATGATCTACCTTTGTAGGCTCTGTTTACCTGTTGCAGGAGCGTGCCTATTGCTTCCATTAGGTCTCGTGCGCCTTTGCTGCTGCTGCTGCTGCCGCTGCTGCTGCCACACCAGGGGCCCAGGAGCGCCAGGCGAGCGAGCTAATCCGAGTCAAGGGGCGGCAACTGGCCCGCCACGCAGGCAAGTGGCAGCAGCAGCAGCATCAGCAGTAGATCTGCCAACGGCCGAACCCCTGGCATCTGTAAAATGGTCGTCGTCCTCCTCCTCCTCCTCCTCCTCCTCCTCCTCCTCCTCCTCCTCCTCCTCCTCCTCTTCCCTCCCCCCATCCTCCTACCCACCCATCCTCTTCCTCCTACAGAGCGAGGGGGGGGAGGGGGAGCAGCAACAAGAGCAGCAGCAACAACCAGAACCTTCGGCGGACAGGAACCGCTCTTGCTCTAACAGGGCGCGCCCTCGGCGCGCGAAGACTGGCTTGAAATGCTGGCAACTGGCAGCAGCAGGAGCAGCATCCGCAGTTGATCTGCCTACGGCCGACCCCCTGGCAGGTGTGCGATGGCCCTTCTCCTCCTCCTCCTCCTCCTCCTCTTCCCCCTCCCCTTCTCCCCTCTTTTCCTCCTCCTCATCCACGGATCCCGATTCGCCTGCCTGGGGCGGCATCGGCGCAAGTTTCAAGTCTGTTGCGTCCTCGTGGACGCGCCCAGCAGAGTACGGCAAAACCCTCCTGCGTCTCCTGCTCCTCCTCCGCCTTGCTTCCCCCCCCATCCTTCCTCATTTTTTTGCAGAGCGAGTGTCAGACCCCCCTCGACTAAGCACATCGCTCGCATTGTCCGTAGCAAACTTCCGAAGCTGGAAAAGCAAGGCCTGTGGACAACCCCCGTGAGAGACCGCCACGGGCTGTCACTGCGCCATTCCCCTGAACTCTAAACCGAGCGTCAGCCTGCAACTCGCAGTACATATCTCGCGCGCTGGACCTCCCCCCGCCGCCTCGCTCTATCTCCTGCGCCCCCCTGCCTCCCGCGCCCCTCTCGTCTCAGCGAGGCGGCCCCTGGGCGCCGGCCGCTCGACTGGAGAGCGCGCCAGGCGCCCCCGCCGCAAAGAAAAACACCACCGTGCCCCCGGACTCCTGCAGCGCGCACCTACGCGGCCTTGCGCGCGGACTTGCACACAGGGGCGCCGCCAATGCTGGCTCTCTTCGCCGCCAGAACCGCTGGGGAATGCGGCGTCGCCGTTGGAAACGACGCCGTGTCGCCCACCCTGGCCCTCTTGGCGGCCCCGGGCGCAGCCCGGGCGCACCCTTTCTGGTCAGTGCCGCCGGCCCCGCTCCCAGGCGCGCTGTCTGCTGCACCGCTGGCGCCCTCCGCCTCGCTCTCCCCGCTCACTGCGCGGCCGGCGAGGATCGCCTTCCCCGCGTTCAGAAGGATCTCGGGGATCAGGCGGCCCTCGAGCGCGGGGAACTCCCCCTTCGTCTTGTCAGGCTCCTCTGCGACGCTGATGAGGTTCTTCATGGCATCGCGGACCTTCTGCTTCTGCTGGGTCAGAATCCTCGACTGGCCTTTCGCCTCCCAACTCGACGACGTCACGTTCGCGCACCAGGCGACCAGGAAGAGCCGCTGTCGCAACTGTGACGTCATGGAGTCCACCTGCGACTCAAGATGGGGGTCGCGGTACACCTCCTTTATGAGAGAGAAGCCACCGATCACCTGGAGCGAACGCGGGGTGGCGAGGAGGAGCCGCGGCGGAATGTACTGGGAACGAGGGGAGCTCGGTGGGATGAGACAGCGGGGGACTGGTGAAGGAACACGAGGAGCTGGGGAAGACGGCGAACAAGGATCTGCGCACCTTGTTGACAGCATCAACCATCTTCCCACCCTTGCCGCCGAAGGTCTCCGGCATGTCCACGGTGCCACCGACAACCTTTAAGAACTCGGCCGCTTCCTGCAGCGTCTCGGGGATGGGGCTCCTCTCAAGAAGCTCCTTCGCGGCGCGCTCGGCTGGCTCGGCGTCGAACCGCTTGACGGAGCGTTCAGCCCGCTCCTGCGCGACTTTCTCCAGCCATGGCACGGCCTGCGCGTGCAGCTCCTTGCTGGCCCCCACTGCTGCCTCCACATCTTCCAGAGAAGCGTCGAAAGTCTTCGCGATGACCGTCTGGAAGGCGCGCTCCGGCTGCGCCATGTCCCCGAGCTGGCGCACGGCGTCGCTCGCGTTCTCCCACAGCTCCAGGTTCAGCTCGCCCCCGGCCTGCTCGGCAAGCTCCTTGGCGTCGGCGACGGCCGCGACGCTGCGCAGCCACATGTCCGCTTCCTTCCAGGTGTCCTCGGGCGGCTCCGCGCTCAGCAGCTTGGAGATATTCAAGAAGGCCTGCAATTCCTTCCGTTGCCACGCCGCCGAGTCCACGCGCTTCAGAGACTGTTCTGCTGCACCCTTGGCTCTGGCCAGAACGCTGTGGCCCAAGGCCCTGCGCACACGCGCCGCCGTGCCCAGCGCGAGGGAGAACAGCGACTGCAGCCCCTCTACGTTGTCTTCCGCAGACGCTGTCACGCCAGACCTTCAACAACGCCTCGGGGCTCTCCTTCAAGAGGTCGCACAACCGATTGGCTGTCTTCACTGGCTGCTTCATCCCAGGTACGTCGAGACGGCTGTACGCGGCGATGTCGGCGATCTTCTTCAATGCCCCGAAGGCGGTCTCGTGGGGGCCCTTGATGCCATCAGGCGCCCACTCCTCGACGGTCGACCAGCCGCGCTCCAACTCCAGCCGCTCGACGCACGCGGCAGTCAGGAGCTCCTCTGGAGAACGCGTTTCGGCGCCCAAACTACATTGAGAAGGCGCGCTGCTGCAGCACCTCTGGCACAAGGTGTTCTCCTCGTCCTCCTCCTCCCTCCTCCGCCTCCACTTCCTCCTGATCGTTCTGGCGGTCCGGGGTCCGGGGGCGGTTCATCTGTCTGTGTCCTGTTTCTCGCTATCGGACAAGGAATCTTTCCTCAGGCCTGCTGCGGCTCGCCCCACCTCCTCGCGGGGCGAGCGCAAGAGCAACCCGAGGACCACGTCCTCGAACGCCGTGCCTCGACAGGAGGCAAACACAGGCAACGGCGAGGTCAAACATCCCATGCTCAAGTAGGAGAAAATAAGGCGCGCCGCAGCAGCACCGGCCAAACTAAAACCAATGGCGGATCGGAAACCCTCGAACCTCATCGAACGGACTCGCGATCTTGCGGAGGCCCGCCCGCGGCCTTCCCTGGCGAGTTGGTGCCGGTCGGCCTCCTGCAGCGCGCCCGCCGTGGACACGGCCTCCTTCTGCTTCTTGCAGGCGCGCGACACCTCCTCGGTCCAATTCTGCCACTGCTCCCCGGCGGCATGGCCCGTCACCTGCGCGAAGAGCTCCCGGGCTGCCTGGGCGCACTGGAGAGCAGCCTCCTCGTGGGACCGCTTCTTCATGGCCGACTCCGCCCAACCAACGAGGACTTTGCCGCCCGGGCTCGTGTTCAAAGCGACGCCCAAGGCCCCCTCCAGCTGCGGGGGCGCCTCCAGCGCCTCCTCCACCTCAGTCAGCGGGGCAGTGCTCGCGCGCGACACTGCCCAGAGAACTTGGATTTGACCCTTCAGCTCCTCCTCCCACACTGGCCGCGCAGGGTCGGCGGGGGCCCGCTGGAGAGCATCCCGCGCGGCGCCAGCGAAGGCAACCGCGGCAGCAAACGATCCGCCTCCCTTCTTGGCGTCCGACTTCGCGACGGCCGAAATCAGGCCCGTGCCGACTCGCTCGAGGGTCGTCGTCGCGAGATCTGCCGAGGGCGCGCCATCTGCAGCACCGCTTCCCAACAGGGACATCAGCTGTAACCAATCGCAGCGCTTGATGGCCTCGTCTGCCTTCCAGCTCCTGAACCGCATGTGGTACGCCACGCCGAACGCGATGTCCTCCGCCGCGGCGATCTCGGTGTCTTTCAGGAGAGTCTCGGTGTTCCCTGGCTTCTCGCTCACAGCAGCCTGCGGACTCCTCCGCCTCCTCTGGTCCCCCTCGCTCAGTCTTCTTCCTCCTCCGCTTCCGCCGCCTCCTTTGAACTGGGCCGGGGGCCTCCAAGCCCCCGTTCACAAAGAGGAATGAACAACTGAATGCGTACTGTAGCCCCCTCCTCCCTTCCTCCCCCATTCCTCCTCCCTTCCTCCTCCCTTCCGCGTCCCTTCCTCCTCCCTTTCTCCTGCCTTCCGCCTTCCTTCCTCCTACCCCCCCTCCTGCCTTCCCCCTCCCTTCCTCCCTCTCCCCCTATCGTCCTTCTCCTTTCCTCCTCCCTTCCTCCATCGACGACGACGACGACGACCGCGAACGCGACCACGACCGCGACCACTCCGCCTTGACGTCCCGCACTGCCGCGGCCAGCGCCTCCTCTGAGCGCGCCAGCCACGCCTTGTTGATCTGCAGCGCCTGCGCGCCGTCATCCGGGATCTTCCCCATCTTGGCCGCTGCCTTCTT